GGGCTAAATCATTATAAGATCTCATTATAAAGACTAATAATAATTATAAATGTTATTTTGAAGGTTTCTACGAAAAAAGATGAGACGTCAAAGAACTGATTTTTAATAATATTACATCGTTGGTCTACATTATCTACCTGATATGACACAATATAATACATCATATATGTATCATATGATGTATTATATTGTGCTGCAGAAAAAATTAGTACCAACCGAAATTAAACGTTTTCAACACTTTAAGCGAGAAGGTAGGAAGCTTTTTCTTATAATAGTACGCCCATCGAAAGTCATTTCAAGAAAATATTTGCTAGTTAGAAATTAACAACTTCAATTTAATTTAATTTAATTTTGCTCGACAGCGTGAATTTTTAATATGATGTTAGTAGCAGCAGTAGCAGCTTTATTACCACTGGTGATTATTATCAATATTTCTCCATCCACATTTTCCACTAAAGTCTCTTAAACGATAACACGGACATTCCAGTTAATATAGCTGACATGCAAATAATAAACACATTTAAATTCTTTTAAAGAATTTAAAAATACGACTGTTTAGGAAAATGATAATTGCATGCCAATAAAAGATAAAGCACCAGAAGGAAAAGCAGTTAAAATTACATACCATCGTTGGTATAAGATGGTGACGCTTTGGTTATCAATTCAGTTGAGTGATCTAGTAGCAGAGTTCCACATGCAGGTAGCATAGCTTCGCTTGTTGAAGTAGGTGATAGTGGTGTAAGCGGTTTTAATGTTTCATACTGTGGAGAGAGTGTTTCACGAACAACCACGAATTCCGCTGGTTCTGGTACCAATTCAGGCGCAATAGGTTCAACCAAATCGAGGGCTGTTTTCAGATGTAATGCATTCGTTGATGACATAGCCGTTGAATGATCATCATTAATAGGCAACTCGTGTTTCATAGATGTAGTTGTACTGCTCGGTGATAAACTTGTTGTTTTAAATAACACGCTGTCATGCGGCTCTATAATATTTTACAAAACTTTTTACAATTTTAAGAATTCAAGATCCACTACTCTTTGAAAACCAATGCAGTACTATTCGTAACAGCCAGCGAGTAGCCAGAAAAATAAGCGTGTTTCCAAATTTGCGTTCCATTAGATACCTTCAACTAAAGAATAAGACTTCCAGTCACTATGATTCACTGACAGATGGCAAGGGCCGATTATGAAACATGCAACTCCGCCACAGCATTTCAGAAGTTCATGCAATCACCCTTGTTTGATGTAAGCATATGTGCAAACTACTATTCTACAAGTAATCAGTCGAATGTTGAAAAGCGATGAAGCATGCGTTTCAAAATAAAATTATTTCAAGCGATATCTAATGTGATAACGTTAAAAAAGATTACAACAACAGAAGATGAAGCGAAAGACAATCGGAGAAGCAAGAAAGATGGTAATACCATACAAGCAAAACATGCCTATCAATACAGATATTTATAATTCATAACAATATTAAATTAAACATACTGTCGGTAAGAGTAGAAGCGCATGGAACGCCTAAAGAAGGAGATAAACCAGCAGCTGAGAGATATGCAAGCATTTCCGGAGTGATGAAGGCATTTGCTCCATCCGTCCCGGCAGCTACAAATATTTTTTGATAACGGCAATTTCTAAACTTTCAAAAACCGGCTGAACGTCGAAGAAATTTATATTACTGGAGTTCTAGATGAGCATTATCAACCTTCAAGAAAGCTTTGAAATTAGGAATTTGTAACATTGTACAGCTGTCATTTTTTAAAAGCCTTAATTGGCTAATCGGAAAATTTCAAATCCCAAAAACCTGTCCAAACTAATAAATCGATTACACCTCATATTTCAGACATTATTAGTTACATCACATCTAAATTTAATCAAAACAAAGCAAGAGAGAAAAACAAGCAATAATACAAAGTGCTTATGTACAAAAGACATACTATTAGGTCTCAATAATAACTTCAAATAAACAAACTTTAACTTCGGAAACATTACCTGCATTAGCCCAAAGAAAACTGTTTACTGCAGCATTCAAAATCAATACATCGTTCAAACTTGATATATTCGAACCATTCCGTTGATCCATAAATTGTTCAGAGAGCTTGCAAATTTTCGCATCGGTCGTCTCCTGATATTTATTAGTCCTGAAACATAGCAAGAAAAAATTCAAAAAAAAAAACTAGCATAGGAGTAGAAATTTCAAGTTTCTAAATAATTCAAGTATTTCTTGAATTTAATTGCTTCGGATTTCTTTTACCTAATATAGAGATTATCTTTTGTGTTTTCATCAAAAATGAAAACATCTCAAAATCTCAAAAATGAATTATCAAAATTTGTTTTATCTCAAAAATGAATTATCAAAATGAAGCCAAATAAATAAAGAAATTAATATATATTAGCAGAAAAAAAATAACTAAACAGTGAAACGTTAGTTGATAGTGCAGTCAAGAAAAATATAATGGAAGAATATTCAGAATACTTCCAAATATTCAAGAAGTGTGCAACAAAAGAAAAACAGACAAAACCGTCTCGATAAACTTGCAAAAAATTGGAAAATAGCTTATTTATAAATTGATTTAAGACAGCGCGGTACATCTTCTGGGCGTTTCTTTTGTATTACCAGGCACCATGCACACTCCCTTTCTTGTGATTCCCTCATTGTTAAACATAAGCAAATTGACGAAACAAAACACCTGTCCACCGAACCATCGGTTTGTAAACGTGAATTCTCGGTAATCTGTATATCCATAGCTCCAGTAGGAGCCACTGATGAACTCATATTACGTTCAGCAGAATCCACATAATCAATTGTATCAGTAATAACAAATGATTCCACGTTTTGTTGTTTTCCATTAACATCTTCTAATGATGATAAGCTGTTTGACCGTGTGTCTATCACCAGTGCATCAGAAACAGAAGAGATCGACGAAATTTCCCAATGTTCCGCTTTAGTTTCACCATTCAGGAGCTCGCTGTCACAATGCAAACTAAAAGATGTTAGTAGTGCACATGCATATATATATGAGACGGAATATGCATCGCAGATTATCTTGTGCAAAAATGTTACTCCTTAATAACAGTGCCCTCGGAATTCTATGTAATATGCAATAAATGTATTGCTATCATGATAAGCTTATAAAAAAATTTTTTCTCCATAAAAGACATATAAAGATAACTGTTTTCAGACACTTCGCTATTTTGCTTCATTATTTCACATATCTTCTTTACACAAATTTTTTCATTCTTTGGCAACTCTTTTTCTCCCTACTGAAGATTTTTTTGCATCCGCACGCTGTCTACTAGGTTTCTTGGCAACACGAATCGTTCACTGATGCTACTATTATATGCTAGCATTTCTTGATTTAAAAGTTTCTAAAAAAGCAAAATAAAGTTTTCCCGTACAAAAAATAATTAGGCAGCACTGACAATATATATCTGCAACCTATACACAATTACAAAAGGTAAGATTCGGAGCGGAAGAGCTAGAAGATGGAAAATGGAATCAGATTCTTGCCATGACATACATATTTGCTGCATTTGTTGCACTACACAAGTTTGAAGATGCACATTTCTCTGTCGTTGATAATAATCGTTGTAAATCGGTGCCATCCTTACAGAAATCAACTGATTCTGCTACTTTGCCCTTGGTGTTGTTACTCACTGCAATATTAAAATCAGAAAAACTTGTTATTTAATTATTGAATAAGCACTAGTTTTTAAGTTATCAAAAATTATCAAACCTGGAACAAATCTGCAATCCCTGTTGATAATAGCATTTCCTGACGAACAAACTGAATCTTCCATGGGAGCTGTATCATCATCAACAGCTTCACCTGTTTCAGCACTTATGATTACGGGCTGAAATTAGGTGAGAAACAAGTATTAACTTGAACAAAGCAAAAAGGAAATAGATTTTGCAAAGATCTGAAGGAATTAACTAATGTTTCACCTCTTGCATAGTGCTTGGCCGCTTCTTCGGTAAGGCTGGTTTGCGCTTGCACGATGATCTAGAGGCGTTGTTACCCGCTAAAATGGAATGTATCATTTACACAGTGCTCGAACTATTGTCAATTCAAAAAATTTGCAAATTCGAGTAAATTTCATAATGCCCTGAAATAATGCAAACTATCACAAAAGTCACTTCATATAAAGTGTTGCATTGAAATTTATGTTAGGAAGTAAACAAAACATTAAATTCGAAACCCGCTGTATAACAGTAAACGAGAAATGGTAGCTGTGGAGATCTGAAAGACTAGATTAGAACAGCTCTCACACTGAAATGATATTTCCTAATTCTGAGAAGCTCAATTACTAAAAGCAAATAATTTTATCTAACTTAGATTGATTTTCTTTTATTTTCAATAAAAGCATGTCACATAATTGCAGATATGATGTGGGATTAGAATCCTTACTAACTAATAGTTGCCGTCGATCAAGGAGACTGTTTGATGAATTATTCCTGCAGCTTGGAGCTGTACTAGTGCTTGCTTCAACATCAGATGTTTCAGCCACCGACGTTTCCGCACTTGCTCTTCTAAGTCCACCCTCCTGCCGTTTACAAGCCGTAATCTGCAAAATTTTTATACTAAGATTAAGTTGAAATTAGATGAACTGAAGTTTCTCAGAAACAAAAAGCGGTCCCATAACAATTAATCGAATCATCCTACTAAAAACCTTCTAATGCTTGGACGTGAATTGTTTATGACACCAACAAGCAGAAGAGGCCATAAACATCTGTGTCATTTTGCAACTATGCCAAAAATAGTTTGAACAGAATGTCCGGCAATAGGTGCCAGTAAAGAGACAATCTTGAAGGAATTTTCGGAATTATCCAGGAGGGAGACGTCATTATCAGTTCTTCCAGTTGTTGACATTTATAAAGGGCTTTGATATGGTGCCAGTTTCACACTGTCTCAGTGCATTTGTCTGCACAAGGCTACGCCGTTTGATAAAAATGAGATAAAGAGGAGGCAAGCTGGTAGCACGAAGATGTAGAGATGATTTACCTATACCTCTACGGAATCAAATTTTCGATTTAAGTATCTCCCCAAAATTGACAAAAAGTATCGAATACAAATGTAGAATCTTTTCATTTGAATGAAGTCTTACTTTCCTCTTACAAAATTAGCCCATTTAAATATACTTCATTCTTGGTCCATCTCCGACAATATCGATACAAACGGTTCTCTTTAAACGAAATTAGCTAAGCGATCTGACTGAAAACCGGAAGTGATATAAGCAAAGTGATAAGGCTCTACGAACCTGAAATGAGATGGTTCCACCTGATGGCAAATCATTTGCCATGTTTGCAAGGTTCTTCGAGATGCCTGAAAGAAGTGTAATGACAACGAGAAGGTCAAGGGAGAAATGGTGAATTGGAAATTTAGAAAGAAATTAGATTCCAAACATTCCGCATCGTTTTGCTCTGAAAGTTTCGAGCAATAAGACTTGGATTTTTATAATCTAAAGGCAAACAAACTTATAAAGCAGTAATTTGAAGTACGGAATGGGAAGAAAAAAACAATTTTACTAAATCTTAGTCTTAATGCTCTCTTCTCCGGAGATGAAACTCAATGTTTTAGCGATAAAAGAATGAATTGCGAATGACACCATTCCCGATAAATCGCTTTATAGGATCTATAACCGAAAGTCGCAGTAGCCAAGATTTCATCTTAAATCGCTTGCTGATCTATATTAATCATCAATGAGATGTAGCAGAATCGATAGAAACTTTAAGCACCGCTTGTGCATGATGGAAATGGATAAGTCATTAAACAGGAAATCGCTGAATATCCGATTACCTTCGCTTGTAGGATTATCAAAGATAAAACAGTGTTAAAACACGATGGAACTGTCTTTCCATTCCATCCCGAAATCTTCCACTTCTCCGGCCCACTTACAAATGGCCTCTCACAATATAAACATTAGACAATAACGGTTGTAAAATTTTCGAAAAAGAAATGTCACCACACAATCACACCAACCTCGATAGGTGCATCTGTATTCCAATCCGAAGCATACATAGACTTGTTAAATATGAAAATGATTCAAAATACCAAGCTTACAAGGTTAATCAAAAGCACACCTTCCATAGTTCGTCCGGTATTTCCATTTGTAGGCTCATTTCTAGGATTGTTGTCTCGTGAAGTACACTCAATAAACATACTTGACATTTTTTTTTGACCACAACTTCGATAGATTTGACAGCTCCTCGTAGATGTTTACATTCAGTTTTGTTTCCAAATCAAGAATATACAAGCAGCTAGTTTTTTCTATACCGGGATCTCTAACTGTAATGGATATATAACTGTATCAGCAATAATTTTTAAATATTTCAAAGAGATGCGCATATTAATGTGATAGATTTCAACCTCAACTTCAGCATTTGTTTCATTTCTCAACCATTAAAATACTTTTCCTCATTTAATTTCTTCCTGCTAACTTAATTTTTTCTCTTATTAGTAACCATTGCTGTAACTTTGAAACTATTCCAATTGCCTTTGAAATGCTACAACAATCTAAGCTACAGTCTTACTTAAATCAAAATTCTTCCACTTTCATATTTATAACTACAGCTATTAATTTGTCCATCTTATCCTTTCATTCAAATATTAGACTGAATGCATTCTCTTATTCAAACACATCTAGTAAAGAAGAAGTGAATAATGAATTGATAAATAACAAAAACAGACAAATCCATAATTGCAAACTAAAAGGAAGTCCGCGGAAATGATGAAATGAACTGAGATTTAAATGAAATCTATGACAGTGATAAAATTTGTAAGCAAAACTAGTTTGAAAATCAAAATATAAATTGATAAATTTTTTGCACGGAAATTATCATATGATACTTTCGTATTCTTCCAATTGTATACATCATTTTTTGTGTGATAACAGAAATCATGATAAAAATATGAGCGGATGTTTCTAGAAACAGTCATACAACAAACGATGCTGATTATTTCATAATCAAACATGGGAATTGCATCAAATCTACGATCAATTTCTAAATTATTTAAATTAAATCACAACTGAAATTTAATATAGAATAATAAATGGAAGAAAAAAATGAAGTAAAAATGATTATGAAAAATATTAACATAAAATGAAATGCTTAGAAAAAAAGAAGAAAGCTTAGAATATAATAATTATTTGTTGTTCATTTTTTCGTTCTTCTATGAATTAGTTCCCATATATTTTTAATTACATAAATCAATTTGCAACGATTAATTCAGTTATAACGCATTCGTTAGCTAATCTATAAGAAATCTTGCGAAATCAATCATATTGAAGAAAATCATAGATTTAAAGATGAAGTAACTGTAACATATAGAGGTCAATTCCAGGTCATCGCAAACAATGAATCACTCGAGGATTTGAAGTGGTATGAAAATGGTATGAAAATAAAACAAATGTTGTTGCACGTATGCAAATGTATAAAATGTTATGCAAATGTATATAATGTCGGTGATGAAGACGATGCTAAGTTGTATATGGCGGGGTGTATGTGTGTGTAAGTGTATGTACATATACGTATATATATATATATATATATATACGTATATATATAAATGGAGTGTGTGGGTAAGTGTATGTGCAAGTTTATTTCCCGCAGAACCAACAAAATATGCATAAAATTGATTCTGCCCCGTTCCATTCCAAAAAAAAAAACATTATTACGTATATGTATGGAAGGGAAAATTCATCGCTCTTGTCGTTGTCGCTATCTTTTTGGTCCATTCGAAAAAGCTTGAAGAGAAAAGGGCTGGCAGGAAGGAAAGAATGAAAGGGAAGAGGTCCATTTGATAGGACATTAGCATATACAACCTTTGGCTATTCCTTGTAATACTATCAATTCATGCTAGAATTGGTAATTAAGCAAAACCTCAAGCACATTCATAATGAATGATAATCAATCTTTGCAAAATCCTATACACATAACAATGTGTAGCATAAGTAATTTATCTCGATATTAAACTTTTTCCGTGATAACAATTTTCGAGTTAACCTGATACAATCAGTAGGAAATGGACTTACTTCTGATAAATGAACAAACCGGGAAGTGTGCACATTGCTCCAAAATTGAAAGCCATCTGGTATTTGATATTTAAGCATTGCATACCAATCGATGATCGCATGAAGTCCTGTCACTGTTTTTCTCTCTTGATTGCATGATGACTAATTTCAATAAATTTAAGGATGGATCATCATTCAAACAATTGATTGAAGATACTTTAATACATTATACCATATTACCGCATAATATACTGTTAGAAATGAATAAAGCGATGAAACTATATATCGTATATTCTAAATAAATATAATAATACTGACAAGTAGAAAAATCCAAAATGTTATCTAATGCATATGAGAGAATAATGAGCTAAACGATAATGATGAGAGCAGTGTGTCACGTGAGATTAGGTACTCAGATGTGTCTGACGATTTAACAAGTTGTACTTTCTGCAAACAAAATAGTAGGGAAGTTAAAGAGTGAAATATTGAGAAGATGATTGTGGAAAAAAAACAAATGAAGCGATGAGCATAGCTGTTGAGAGTCGATGAAGTAATAAAGCGGAATTAACGTTCAAAAATTCTCCCTCGAATTTTTCAAATGGCATCTTCATCACCATTATCATCATTTTACATTTAACTGTCGCCCTCTCTAAACGATAAATCAATCTCGTACTATTTTTAAATATATTATATATATATATATATAATATATATGTGTAGACAGAATTCAGTTTAATAACAAATATATGTAGATAGAATTTAGTTTTGAGAAACAAGTGTAACTTTTTTCCCAGCTGTAATTTATGTGGCACATGTACACTTTGCTTGCTTGATGCTTCACCAACCCTTTAGTATTTTCATTAATTTCAAGAATTTCTAGAAAGAATTTTCAAGTGGGAGTAATGCAAATTACAACTCTTTTTATCACTCGTGAAATAATGATAATGATAATTGGTCGTAATAGCTATGATAGATGACATTATAATAAATAAATAAATAAACAATAATAATAAGAAGAAATAACAATAATTAATAATAATTAATAGTAATGATAAATAATAAAAACAATAATAATTATTATTATAATCATAGTGGTGATAATCATTTCTGTTGCTTATTGCAATAGTTTATTTTTAATAGTAATTGCAGCAGTAATGATGACGAGTAATAAGGAATGATTGACTACCATTAAAGATAATACTGAGCGATAATGACGTTTACAAGAAAAATTCAATTCGTTTTTATTGCAGAATATATTCAGTTACGCTTAAGGCAGTATAGCAATCGATGTTTGTATGTATAGATATTATATATATATGTGTGTGTGTGCGTGGGTGTGTGTGCATATATTATGATGTATTGTATTGCCCGATGTGTACACAAATTCATATTCCCGAGCTACTTTCAAAATTACACATATGCATAGATGAGAGATGACTGGAAGCATTCGAGAAAGAATGCTATTTATTTAATTGCGGTGCCAAAAAGCCCTTAAATAATTAACATAAAATGATGTCCTTTTATGGATATGCAAGAAGGATAAGCATCTTTTAGACCATTGTCCAATACTTTGCTTTCTTACTACTAAAAATTGACATCATTGCATTGAATCTTACAATTTATTAATTGCAATGAATCCTTTCAAGGATGCAATAAATTTTAAAACTTCTCACCAAATTTTTTTTTTAAATTGAAAAATGGATTCTAGTTTTGATGAAAAGAAAACAATGATCAGTAGCAATCTCAAATAAATGTAGAAATTTTTAAACTTCAATTTAATTTTAAACAGTAATAACGGAAAGTGATGAAAGATTGCGCACCCAAACACACAAACGCATCTTTATATGCATATGTATGGAAATTAAAATGAAGTAGTATTATGGTAGTTCATCAGAATTAGGTAAATTTCAGTGAACGATGGAGGGTGAACGAAGTGATATGCGCAATTTGTATGCACGGGTGTTGTGTCAGTGTGTTTATGTATTCTGATGTCGCTGTCGGTATATATGTGTGTATGTGTATGAATGTGTGTGTATGCCTTTTGCGATTTCAGTGTAAACTTGAAATGAGATGAAATGTAAAATGCATACATTTTATGCATAGAAATTAGTGATTTGTGATAGATTTTGTGAATTGCGTCGTTGCTGTATTGATGTGATTCTTGCGATCACAACGGGAAGATGAAGAAGTGGAAATTCGAATCCCTCTCTCGAACCCTCTACTCTCCTTTCTCCCTCCCCATAATCGCTACAACCCCTCCTTATCGTCTCAATTGAATTTTTGACCTTAATTACTTCTGACCAACTGCAATACCCGCAATTTGAAAATTTTGGAATGATAATACAATATATGGAAATGATGATTCGATGTACTGATTTGGTAAGAGTACACAGTACCATTAAGCAAGTGAACAGGACAACTGACCAATATATCAATAAATAGAGAAATATAAAAAAGTGGACAAACCAACACACAGACACATATATATATATAGGCAACAAATCTAGATGTGGTCACTGGGATAGGCGCATTTATCACAATGTCACAGAATCTTTAAAAACCTGATTAATATTTCTGAATAGGTCAATGAGGCGCATGTCTGGGTGATAATGAGAGCGCATATATAGCATTTGACTATTTCACATTTTAACAATTTCGTTTATTTCCCCAAAAATATTTAACAGCAATTTGTAAATGATAATAATAAGTATAAAAATGCAATCCTATTATTTTTGTATATTTGATATTGGCAGATGAAAGGTAAATAATATTATTTGAAGTAGAAGTATTTGTAGAAAATTTCAAATTTCATCGTCTGTCATAAGAAATGAACAGAGGGACATTTCGAAACATATATGAATAAAAGAATGAAAGTCAATATGAAAGTATCTCACCGTCACTGTAATGCAACAAAGTTCAACTAAAACACTCTTTGGCTTAGAGTATGAAATTTGTTTACATTCTCGCTTAACTGCTATATGCAGATAATTTGGACAATACAAAAAAAAAGGTTTCAGAAATTTCAATTACATAAAGTTTTAAAATCAATCAATAAGTTTATTGAAGAATTCAAATATGCTTAAGTGTATAAATCAGTAGATGAAATATTTAACATATAAAAAATGAAATCACTAAAAAAAGGTTAAGAAAAGCGGAG